TATATATATATATATATATAATTTTAACGATCCAACGACCATTCAACTATTTCGTTTCATTAATTTAAATCAATGTATAAAATGATTTTATGATTATCCGTCAATTTAAATTAATGAAATGAAGTATCAAATAATTTTCAAATTTTCTAAAAATTTGCATATTTGATCTATGGATTAAGAACTTTAAATTGACTGTTGGATCATTGAAATTTAATATAAAATATGAATTATTGAATAGAATAAGTCTAAGTAGACTTATTCCTGTAGACTTACTCTTAGAATAATAGATCCTTCCTCTCTCTCTCTCTCTCTCTCTCTCTCTCTCTCTCTCTCTCTCTCTAGGAAATATATTAATGACAAAATCTTTATTGACAGTGTAAAGGAAAAAGGAAAAATGTTTTCCTTAAAATAAATAGGCTTAAATTTTTTATAGGATTATGAAGAAAAAAAACTTATCTTTGTGAGTGTTATATAATTATTGCGTGTTAATTGTTTCTCCCTTTCCTCTCTTTAATTATTTTTCCAACTAATGGAAGGATTAAACTTTAAAGTATTTTTCTTTTAATTATTTTCAAAGTTTTTTTTTCTTAATCCTAAGATATATTCATTAATATTTAGGTCAATATTTTTAAGTAAAAACTTAATATTTCAATTTTTTATATCGACTCTCTTTTCAAGCCATTTTTAAACCTTATATCATCATCAAATATCAATCTAAATGAAAAATTAAAAACTAAGTATAGATTTAACACTTAATCTATGCATAAAATAACATGTAACAAAATAAAAACAAACACCAAATTATAAATTTGCACTCTACTACAAGAGCTTCTAAACTATACATCTCTAATCATCAAAATTCATCATATATAAGTTATTCATTTTAAGTTTGATTAACACAATTTATAATAAATTATTATTAATATAATTCTTAAGGTAATTATTATAAATAATAACAAACTTATCATATATATATATATATATATATATATATATATATATATATATATTATTTAATAAAAATTATATACTATATAGTGATTGAATAATTGTGTAAAATTGTCTATGCACTAGTTAAATAGTATTTTTCTCCTTTTTATTCATATTTTAAAGTTTCCTTTAATAAATATTTTAATTTTTCAAATTTATTAATAATTAATATCCATCGAAAATGTGAATAAATTAATTATAGTAGAATTTTTTTAATTAAGTTATTAAAAAAATCAAATATAAAATTTTACTTAAGCAAATTAATATAATTTTTATCTGAACCATGTACTTGCTAATAAACATGGACATTCATTTAACATTTATAATTTCTCTCATTTCTTTCTTATTACATTATGTCATATATTGTATTTATTTTTGGATAAAATATTAATTTGGACTCTTATAATATTTTTTTATTTTAATTTAATCCCACTTTAATTTTTAGTTTCAATTTGGTCCCTAATAATTTAAATTAGTGCAATTCAGACTTCCGTCCAAATTATTTAAATGGAGTTAATTGTTAGCCACGTGGATGCCACATAGATGCATAGGTGGATGCCAAATTTCTTGAATACACCTAGAACCAGAACGGCCCGTTCTGGTTGCACTCTTGGTGTGTTAATTTTGCACCTGGAACGGGCCATTCCAAATGCAAAATTAACACACCAATAGTATAACCAGAACGGGCTGTTCTAGTTTCAGAACGGGCTGTTCTGGTTCCAGAATGCCAAACAAAAACGGTCAATGATTATAGTTCATTGTTGTGAATCGTGCAAGGAAAAAGACCCAAGGTACAAAGCATTTCAAACACTGGATTTGGTAATATTATAAATGGAGTTGATAACTTCAATTGCTAAACATTTGGGCTATACAGTGTATCATTAAGGACAATGCAGTGTATCACTAAGGACAATGGTAGCAAGTTTTATTTCATTGTTAGTCAAACTAGAGTGAACCACTTACTACAAAATTGATACTATACAGTAAAGGATGAAACGAAACGGTGTTTCCCCTTAAAGTCATTGACGATGTACCCCAACAATAACAATCTGTTCTTGAGGAAATACAACCTGAAGTAAAGGAAGATGATACACATGACCAACATTTCACCACACAACCACATATACAGGTAGATAATGATGATATCCTATCAGTCATTCAGTGTTATATGGTGGATAAGATGTATTATTGACACCTTCAGCGTTATCCAGATGATTTCATTTTTTAGTAATTTCTTTGAACTTTTTTAGTATATGTTATGTTATGAATTTTTGTTTTTAGTTTCTGAACCATATTTCTGTCTTTGAATTTATGATATGTTATGAATTTTTATTTTCAATTTTTGAATCACATTGCGGTATTTTGTTGAACGTACGTATGTGGTTGGCGTTTTGGAATGGGTCGTTCTAAATCTAGAACGGCCCGTTCTAAAATCAAATGGCCTGTTCTACTGCACTCATGATATGTTAAATTTGCATTTGAAATGACTCATTCCAGATATAAAATTAACACATAACATGTGCAACCAGAACCGGCCGTTCTGGTTCCAGGTGTATTCAAGAAATTTGGCATCCACCTATACATTTATATGACATCCACGTGACTAACAATTAACTCCGTTTAAATAATTTGGACAGAAATCCAACATTGTAATAATTTAAATTATTAAAAACTAAATTAAAACTAAAAATTAAAATAAAATAAAATTAAAATAAATAAATATTATAAGGATCAAATTAAGATTTTAACCTTTATTTTTCTTTTCAAATGAAAACACTTCAATCTTGTCGACAAAACATTTTTCATTCTGTAAAGTGAAAGCGGTTGTTCCACTTTTGTTATGTTCAGACATGTGATACCAAATCTAATGATCTCCGGTTGCCATACTTTTGTTGACGACGGACATCAATAACTGTTTTTTTTTTTAAAAAAAAAAAAAAGGATTTTCATTAAAAACATTAAAATATAACCACGAAAAAACTTTATTTTTTATATAGAATTCATTGAAATAATCTAATTGGCAGAACCGTGAAAATATTGCTAACATGATTCATATCTGACAGTTGTTTTTTTTTAATTTTTTTATTTTTTATCTATTTCATCCCAGTTATTTATCATCCCTCCCTTTTATTTCTTTGTTAACTCTATTCTTCTAAACATAAAGTTAGAGATAAGCACTCTTTTTAAAAAATAAATAAATTTATTGTGGACAGTGTTGGATTGGACTGCTTAACAACTAGG